GGGGCCGCTTTCCCGGAAGTGCGGCTGCGTGGCAGGGAGCTTGGCCCTGCATCTCCGTAGGTGCCCGGCGGAGCGACCGTGCAGAGAGGAGAACCGGTTCCTGCGGAGATCTCGGTCCTTGGTGCCGCCGTGTGTGTGCGTGAGTGAGTGTGCGTGTGGGTGAGTGTGCAGGGGGCGGGACCCCAGGCAGGGCAGGGGTCCCGCTGAGTGCGTGCGTGTGTGTGAGTGTGTGTGTGTGAGTGTGTGTGTGTGAGTGTGCGTGTGGGTGAGTGTGCAGGGGTCGGAACCCCAGGCAGGGCAGGGGTCCCGCTGAGTGTGTGCGTGTGTGTGAGTGTGAGTGTGTGAGGGGTCCCGCCGCGGGTGGGGAGGGAGACTCGCAGTGGAAAGAGAGTTTGGCTGTCTTTCCCGAGTCCCAAAGGGAGAGGCGGGATGGACGGGCCCCTACCTCCCCGGGAGTCCGCCAAGTTCATTGCTGAGAACAGCCGAGACGTGTCCATCGACGGCGGAGGCGTGCGGAGGGTGGCCGAGCTGCTGCTTGAACCCCAGGGCGGCCGACGAGGCCGCGGTCAACTGGGTGTTCGTGGCAGACACACTCAACTTCTCCTTCTGGTCGGAGCATGAGGAGCACAAATGTCTGGTGGGCTACCGGGGCAAGACGTACAGTGGGTACTGGTCCCTGTGCGCCGCCATCAACAGAGCCCTGGACGAAGGTGGGTGCCCCTTCGGGCCGTCAGACCTGCAGCCTTTGAGGCGTCAGCTTCCCGGGAGGGTCCCGAGGAGCGGGGTGGGAGATGGAGTCATGTGCTAATAAGGCGAACCTGCAGTTCCTCTCGCCAGCCCCGCAGCTTACAGTAAAAGCATGCTAAGAGGCCGTCATTAAACATCCTTACTCAGCGGGCGCTGATCCTGGTATCAGTGTCGCAGCTAAGCACAAAAGCCAGTCTGATGCAATCTTAAGAACAAAGGGGACAGATAGAGAACACGTTTTACGCAGCCAAAATACACCTGATGTAATTTTACAGTTGTTAGAAGTGGATGAAACAGTACAGATGAATCCATAGAAAATGAGGCACCTGGTCTGGTTTTCTATTACTCATCCACTTTTAGTTCATTCCTGCAACACTCATTTAGTTTCATATTAACTATGTTGTAAAAGAAAGGGGTCTGATAAATATAAAAATGTGACATGGTTCCTTTGCGTTTCCTTTTCTCCCCAAGGGATACCAATAACTAGTGCTTCGTACTATGCCACAGTGTCCCTGGATCAGGTTCGGCATATACTCCGTTCTGACACGGATGTGCCCATGCCTTTGATCGAAGAGAGGCATCGGATTCTCAATGAAACCGGGAAAATCTTGCTTGAGAAATTTGAAGGCTCCTTTCTTAACTGTGTCCGAAAAAGTGAAAAAAGTGCACAGAAGTTAATGCATCTGGTAGTTGAAAACTTTCCCTCTTACAGAGATGTGACTGAGTTTGAGGTGAGTTGCTTTCGTTGGGGATTTTAGAATTCTTGATTATCTTTTCATTGTCAAGTCTCTTAGTTGTGGACTCTTATTCTGGAACTCCTTTTTGAGAATAAAAACTTAAATTTTGAAGTTCTTGTGGACAAGGAATATAACAAATTAAGTAGTGTTTCAAAGACATTACTTCTCTAGTGATTTCTAATCAGTATATTCCCATAATTCTTCTGTCCCTTTGTGTTGTCCTTTTTATTTTTTGGTTGTCCTTTTAAAATGTTTCAAACCTAAATACAACACTGAACCTTGAACATGATGTTGTCACTTAGGGATAAAGAGGTCCTTTTAATACTTCAAAAAATCTACTTTCATTAGATGAAAATCAGAATGTATACTAAATTTCTCTATTTAAGTATATTTAAATAGTTATTTTATTAAATTCTCTACTTATTTAAATACATTTAAATAATTGTTTTATTTAATAATTTTAAAATAATTCTCTATTAAAAAGTATTTTTTGCAGAGTTCTGATATATATGTATATATATAATGTGTTTTCCTTTACATGGACAGAATACTTTGACAGTATTATTGCTTTATGGTACAAAATAGTTTAAAGAGATTTACTTTTAAAATGGTGAGCATTTTGTATACCGTTCTAGGTATGTAAAAATTTAGAATCTTATCACTGTATATTTTAACTATGACAAGAATTGAAAGCAACTTCAGCAGATTCACATAATATAAATCTGTTGATTTATTGCCTAAGTTAATGAATACTTAAGTCAAATGTTCAAACTACCCTTTTGTAGTCACATTTCAGCAACTAAAATTACCAATAATATTGCTTAAATTGCTCTTTGGAGCCTAAGGACAAGGGGCATATTGTCCCCTTTGCAGCAGGAACCAGTTGTAAAAGAAAGTTTAATTAGTTTATCTTAGGTTATTTAGATAATAGTTAGCTTTAAAGTGAGAGAAGGCCTGATTGTGTATGTAAAAATTCTTTTATTTGCAAATGACAGAAACAAAACTAGAAAAAACGTATCAAAAAGAAGAATTTTTGGAAGGTATTTCGGATAGACACATCCAGGATCAATCAAGGGCTTAGTGCCATCAGGATTCAGTTTCTCCTTTTAGCTTCTGTTGACTCCATTTTTCTCTTACTGTTGACCAGCTTTTTCCATGGAGGTCCATGAACTTTGCATATTATTGCTTCTGCGGACGGACTGATTTTCTCAGTTCCAGTTCTAAAACTTATGTGCAAGGACTGATTGAACTGGCAGGGATTGTGACCGTTTAGATGTGGCTTTCAGGGTGTGTGGATGGGCAGAGACAGTTCTTAGAAAAGAGTCCATAGGTTAGCTTACTGTTGAACTTCATTCTGTTTTAACTAACCATTTTGCTAATGCAGAGGTTACTTTGAGATTTGTTTTCAAAGTACATCATTTCAGCCTTGTTTTTCAAGAAATGGATCCAGTTCCTGGGTCCATTTGAATATAAGGGGGGGGGGGCAAAAGTAGGTTTATAGTTGTGAGTACACGAAACACAGAGTTTATTCTTGTATTATTACTTACTACTTATTGTATTATTTTCCAAACAAACAACTATAAACCTACTTCTGCCTCATCCTATATTTGTAGAGAATTTTGAGTTAAATTATAACCCACTATCTTATAATGCTGAGTTAATTTTTTTCTTCCATGTATAAATACAATTGGTAGTTTACTTTTGTTACATATTAACTTTGACCATTTCCAAAAGTGGCAGACAAATTCTAGCTGTTGGTCAATTATGTCTTTATCTGTGAATAAGTTAATCACAGTATCTGAAAGGAAACAGGCAAAAATGAATGTTGTGATTCTCTTCCGAGGTGAGTTTAGGGATGATTATTTTCTTCTTTATACCTTTCTATATTTATACAATTAATGTGGATTATGTTGCAATTAGAAAAACATATATAAACTCTCTAAAGAAATACTATCTAGCTATAAAAAATAATAAGTAGGTCGATTATAGTGACACAGAAATATGTACATGAAGTAATACTATTGAAAAAGAACACTAAATAGTATCATGATTACATAAGTTGTATTTTATGTGCCTTGAAAAATATAGGAAGTAAATTTGGAGTGATAGAGGTAATTTAATATTTATTACACCCCCCCTTTTTTTTTTGTAAAAGGTCTATTACCAACAGAGTAAGATAATTCTTCCCTTGAAAAATATTTTCAACATGTCTTTTTTTTTTTATAGCATTTCATAAAGCTTTGAGATACCCAGGTAACATTTATATTCTCTTCACTCATCAGGGGAAAAGAATTTCTTTTTACAAACGGGCCCAAATCCTTGTGGCAGATACGTGGAGTGTGTTAGAGGGAGAAGGAGACGGCTGCTTTAAGGACATCTCCAGTATTACCATGTTTGCTGACTATAGATTACCTCAAGTTCTTGTTCACCTGGGAGCCCTGAAATACTCTGAAGAACTACTGGAGAAGCTTCTCAAAGGTTTGTCAGCTTAATTAAGACATTCTTTTTTATACTGTGAATTATTGTTGAGTCTCTAGTTTCTTTCACAAAAGGTCTCCTTTCCTTAGAAAAAAGAAATGCTTATTGTTAAAAACATACGTAAAGAAAAAATGCAAGGGCAATTAAAATATGGAGAAAATTGCTTTTTGTTGTTATACTATGGAATATGGATATTGTGGGAAATTGCACTATTTAAGATATTATTATCGCCGAAACCGGTTTGGCTCAGTGGATAGGGCATCGGCCTGCGAACTGAAGGGTTCCAGGTTCGATTCCGGTCAGGGGCATGTACCTTGATTGCGGGCACATCCCCAGTGGGAGATGTGCAGGAGGCAGCTGATCGATGTTTCTCTCTCATCGATGTTTCTAGCTCTCTATCTCTCTCCCTTCCTCTCTGTAAAATATCAGTAAAATATATTTGAAAAAAAAAAGATATTATCATTTTAGAGCATCATAATAGAGTGAAATCTAAATTTCTATTACATGAAGGTGTGCAACACTAAGACAGTTCATCAAGTGTAGTATTTGAAGAGTATTAAGCCAAAGAGCACACTACAGTGTGAAATAAAATAGGGATGAGAGGTAATATGAAGTGGATTTTTAGTTTGGAGGCTTCAAGGTCTGCCACTGGGTTATCTTGCACAAGTCACTCAGTTTTCTTTCTTTTTTAATTTTTATTTGTATGAGTTTATTTGTTTACTTGAGCCAAACTGGTGACATGCCAGGAAGCAAGATTTCAAATGCTCCAGTCACTCGCTTTTCTAGGTTTGTTTATTTACCATTATTGGATTTGATTATTCTCAAGAGTGGAAGCCTTATTATAATATAAGAGTACAAATAATTGTGTTTGTGAGAAAATTAGCTTTTTGTTTCTTAAACATTTCTTTGTGTAAGGAAAATAATTATATTGTAAAATTTTAATGTTAATTTCTCTTTTGGGTGCTGTATTTTCAGCTACTTTTTTCTTTATTTTTAAAAGAAAGTCATTTTTATGTTGCATAATTTTCTCTTGTGAAATAGATTTTAATCACTCAAGAATAATACAGAATATAAAGGCACCATTATTCCTGTGGTTGCTTCTTCCAGGCTTTAATGCTGCCTTGGGCAATCCACTTTGTCTCTCTGTTTCCTCATTTGAAAAATAACAAGCCATTTTATGTCATAATGCTCATGTCCCGGGTTATTATTGGATACCTTTAAAAGGGACAACTGTTAGCAGTCAGGGCTTCCTTTGCATACAGACATAGTCAGCTGATCTTTTTTTTGGCCAATGTATATGCTGCTCGTTCCTATCTCTAAACATTTTCTTGCCTGGTTTTCCTCACCCAAATTCAAATTTTCTTTTTTCAGTTGAAATCCTACACATCCACAAAGGCTTAGCTCCAGTGCTACCTCTTCCACATAGCTTTTCCTGACTCTTCATGATTTGTCCATCTCCTTCTCTTGAATTTTTATAGCATCCATTGTCTCTGCTACTGTGAAAAAAACCCTGGTTAGAAGGGATCCATCCAACATAGTTGGACAGAGTTGTCTGAACTTTCTCCTGCCATCCTCATCGTCTCCAGATGCTCTTTTCCAGATGTGCATCTGCAGCTGTTACTGCCTTCATTTTTGTCCAGCTCCTAAAAGAAGACTGCTATCCTTACCAGTTTGGTATAGGGTGAACAAATATCTTTGCCCCTAGTTTGTTTAAACAAAGTTGGATTTTTTTTCCTGAAAAGTACTCTATTAGCAAACTAGAGGAGAAACAGAAACTATAAATGTAAAGGTATATGTACTGAAAAAAAAAATCTTAAGTGAAATCTAAAACCAGGTGGCTTGACTAGATGAGGTAGAAATTTCCTTAACTGACCTCTAATGATTCTGCCTCCAAACTTGAGGATGTGCTACACTTATATTTCTTTTACTCTCCTCTTTTCAGGATATCTCCAGGACAGTCCTTGGAAAGCCTACCCAGATTTTTGTTTATTTTATCTTTAACCCATCTCTTCACCAAAGGCATATATATATTTTTAGCCAATTATAAAGACTGACAATGCAATTTGGCTAGATTTAGATTCTTCACTGTGATTCTAGGGTTGAGTTTTAGGCCTAATATGTTGGCCATGTTGCCTTCCCTGACTCTATGTTTGTCATTCCTCTCAAATGGTTTCATTTTTTTCTCTTTCAAAAATCCATGTCCTATCCCCCTGTATTAGTCTCATAAGGCTGACATGCAAAATTACCACAAACTGGATGGCTTAAAACCACAGACATTTATTCTCTCACAGCTGTGGAAGTTAAGTCTGAATCCCTCTGGAGGCTCTCAGGAAGAATCCTTCCTAACCTCTTTCTAGCTTTTGGTGGCTCCCAATAATTCTTTGCACTTTTTGGCTTGTAGCTACATCACTTCAAGTATGGCCTTCCCTGGGTGTCTCCTCTCTCTCTTTGTATCTGCTCCTTTTCTTACAAAGACACCAGTCATGGCATATGAGACCCACCCTAATCCTGTGTAACCTCATCTTAATATGATTACATCTGCAAAGAGCCTGTTTATAGATAAGACCACATTCACAGGTACCAGGAGTTTGACTTGACTGCTATCTTTTTGGAGAACACAGTACAACCGACAGTTACTTATTGGTGGGTAACAAAGTATGCTAAAATTTAGTGACTTAAAACAAGACACTTATCATCTCACCGTTTCTGTGGGTCAGGGGTCTGGGTGCTGCTTAACTGGATGCCTGTGGGTCAAGGTGGCAGTCAAGCTGTCAGCTGTGGTAGTGGACTCATCAAATGACTCTACTTGGGTGGTGAATCTGCCTCCAAGATCACTGTTGTGGTTGATTTGAGAATTCTGGCAAGTTGATAGTCAAGTTTGGGAGAATTGATAAACAAGAGAATGAAGAGGAAGGGATGGATTTGTATGCTGGCACCTGGAGCAAAATAAGGAAATGGAGGGGCACAGCTAGTGTCTGTTCTTCCACTGGTTCTTCCCCAGTGACCAGTGCCTAAGCCCTTGGGAGAGATGGGTAGATGGGACGTAAGTAACATTACTTAAGATTCCAGGTGACAGAGTGGAACCTAGTGGGGCTGGAGCATTTTTCTTAAGTCTCATTGGATCATTGTGCTTATCGGGTACTGTGAAAATCTGTGTAAGAGGCCTACAGATGTGTTCAGCCTGAAGAGTGTTTTAAGCAATTTTTATTAGTTATCAACACTTGACAGGAGATTTCATATGAAAATCAAACCTCTGACTCTTATAATATTTCTTTTAGTAAATATTTATTGGGGGCTAGTATGTGCAAGTTGCCATGCTAGGTCCTAGGAATATTGAGACAAACAAGCCAGACATCATCCATATCCTTGTGGAACTTAACTTGCAATTTTGAATTAATGCCTGAGTTTAGAAATAGTTTAAATTACCAAAAATAAATAAAGTCAGAGGTTTACAGTTTTAAAACTGTGTTTTGTTCTATAGTACTGTTCTGAGTAGATTTCATATCATTGACTGTTGGTGCTTCTTGCTCTGTTTTTCCCTTTGCAGGAGAAATGCTCTCGTATGGGAGTAGGCAAGAAGTAGAAATCAGAGGGTGCTCACTTTGGTGTGTTGAGCTGATCCGGGATTGTCTTCTGGAGCTTATTGAAAAAAAGGGTGAAAAAACGAGTGAAGAGATCAATTCCATTCTTCTGGATTATTACTTATGGGACTATGCCCGTGATCACAGGGATGATATGAAAGGGATTCCATTTCATCGAACACGTTGCATATATTATTGACCCAAAGTGTAAATTGACCCAAAGTAAACTGCTTGCGTTTTTATATCACATAATTGTTTATACAATTTCACTTTGATATTAAGAGAAAGTGGTAGGGTTACAGCAACAAGAACACTGATTACCCAGTCTCACTTAAAAATTTTCTCCTGACATATCACTCTGTATTCCCAAACTTATCCTTTTTCTGCTTATTTAGTTTGACACTATTTTTCCTTTTTGTGAACACATGACAGAAATAGTGAAGGAACTTTAATGCTTTAAATCTCAGATTTCTTAAAATTAATCATGTCTTATAATTAATCTTCAGTGACAGTATTTCATCTATTTAATTGGTATCTTTTCACAATGTATAATTTTCTGTATACCTTAATCATGAGATATGAAACAGGGGTGGGTAAGGTCTTTGCTATATAATTGCTGCTACTCTTATAAAATCTTGACAGCTTGTTTTAAACTCATTATTGGTAATGACAGTGGGATTTTTTACATAATTATTTCAATTCAAGATATCAGTCTGTCCAGTTTTATTTTTCTTTCAGAGTATATAACTACATTGAAATTGAATAAAGATTTTAAAAACTTTTCTTAAACCTGAAATGTATTCTTTCATTCAAATAGAATTGACCAGATATAATTTTAAAAGGTTTACAATGAATTTGATTATTTACTTTATATTTCAGAACTCTCATTATCTGCCACTCACTTATTTCCCACTTTCACCCCCGCCTTCTTTCTAATCTTGAGTTTTGTTATTATCTACCCTCCCAGCTCCCTGTGACTGTGTGACTCAAAAAGGTATTTTTTCCCCAAGCACTTCCCTGCCATCTGCTGGAAACTTGTCATAATAACTACAAATATGGAAATCATGCTTGCGTTTCCCACTTGCTGGCTTGACCTGCAGAGTTTACCAGGGGTGGGCAAACTTTTTGACTCGAGGGCCACAGTGGGTTCTTAAACTGGACCGGAGGGCCGGAACAAAAGCATGGATGGAGTGTTTGTGTGAACTAATATAAATTCAAAGTAAACATCATTACATAAAAGGGTACGGTCTTTTTTTTTTTTAGTTTTATTCATTTCAAACGGGCCGGATCCGGCCCGCAGGCCGTAGTTTGCCCACAGCTTGTTTAGACTGAAGACTGTAACATCTACTCTTATCTGAATTTCCAGTTTGCTGGCCTGTCCTTCAGATTTTGGACTTGCCAGCTCCCATAATCATGTGAGTTAATTCCTTAAAATAAGTTTCTCTGACTCTCTTTAAATGGATAGATAGATAGATAGATAGATAGATAGATAGACATTATATAGGTCTATAGATAGACCTATGTCTATCATTATCTCTCTCCATATTCCATTGGTTCTGTTTCTCTGGAGAACCCTAATACAGGTATAGATAAGTAATATGGCAAAATAACTCAGAGATATTGACTGTAAAATAAAAAACTAATAAATGGCCCTAGCCGGTTTGGCTCAGTGGATAGAGCGCTGGCCTGCGGACTAAAGGGTCCCAGGTTCGATTCTGGTCAAGGGCACATGCCTGGATTGCAGGCTCGATTTGCCTCCCCCCCTCCCAGTAGGGGGCATGCAGGAGACAGCCAATCAATGATTCTCTCTTATCATTGGTATTTCTATCTCTCCCTCTCTGCAATCAATGAAAATACATTTAAAAAACACACACACACAGAAATAATAAATGTATGGTGCAACTAAATCACTTGCAAGATTCAGATATAAAATTTACTGACTAAAGCAATTGGAAATTTGAAGAAATATATTATTGTGGCGTTCATCTAAGTTTCTCTTCTCATGCACTACATTCCTTCTTTTCTGTTTCCTTTCTGTTTTTATTTCTTTGGGTTAAGGATATTTTTGTTTTTGTTTTTGCACATAGTTAGTTCTCTTTATAGACTCTGGTTGTAGGAACAAGGTGCCTGCGGGAGGATATTTTAGTTTTTAGTGGGAAAAAAAAACTGGAATGAAATTAGCTTATTGAAAAAGGAAATGTAATGATAAAAAAAAGGGTAAATCCAGGGAAAGAGCTGGCCTTAGCCATGCCTAGACACCATACCTTATATTTCTTTTGCTCTGTTTGAAGAGATAACTAATAGGTAATGAGTCCAGGCAACTGAATGCAATTTTTTTGCCAATAGCTCAAGCAAGAATCAGATTTTGCTGATGAGCCTGGCTTGAGTCTCAGGTGCCCCATGCACCTCTGCACCTGCCACTCTGGCCTTTGCTATGGCCTGGGGCAAAGGTCACATACTTGGCTTGCCTATGAAGTGGAGCAGGGGCAGTTCTTGAAGAAATAGAGGAGATTTGCTTATTGAAAAGAAGGGATAGCCAGCATCCCAAACAACCTTGTCTTCTATACCTTTGTATGTTCAGAATATTTTGGCAGGTGGGGATCATTTCAAGGTGGGAACTGCTGAAGAAGAGCTAGGAAAAGCGTAAGGCTACAGTCTGAGTTGGTTCAATGAAAGAACTAATTCAATTTAAGGAAAGAACTAATCAATTTTCTGTGGGGGGAAAAAACCTAGTAACTCTCTCCCTTCTTTTACCATTCCTACTTTGACATTCTCAGGGTTGGTTGCAGGAATGGAATTCAATTATTAAGGCTCAATAACTTTGATGATGCCCGAATTAAAATGAAAAGAAACAATAGGTCAAATGGTATTTAATAAGAAATCTAGATATACTTACCTTGAGGAATGAAAATAGTAGTATTTGGAAAGCAAAAATCTATGAGTTCAACTCCAAAAAAAGAAACTATTGGTTGATCAATTCATTATTCTCAAAATCAATAACTAAAAGGGGGAAAAGTCAAGTATGTATCCTGCTATTTCTATACTAACTGCATTTCAGGATAATCTGATGGAGGGAAAGCTCTTTTCTATAGAATAATTTCAGCTAATAAATGTAAAAAGGAATATTGGAATTAGAAAATAACCATTTTGGAATTCCTAATGAATTAGTAGATCTGGAAAATGACCGGATTTATTGACCAATGGCTGTTAAAACTATTAAGTAAAATGTTGATGGGGAACTTTTTTAATGGATGGATTAGGCTGAATGCACCTGAACTCACCAATAATCTTAACATCACCAAAAGTGGGATATGCAGACATTTTGTGCCTGCTGGTGTGTTGCAATAGGAAGTACACAACCCCATTTATGAATTATTCTTGGCAGAGAAATTGAATCCGAATCTAATCAAGAGTCTAGAGTAGACCTAACAACTAATTTACAGAAAATGTAGGGAATAGAGAAACAATTTAAAAGACAACAGAAAGCTGTAGTCACCACATGGATGAACCTTTAGGACATTGTGCTAAGTGAAATAAGCCAGTCACAAAAGGACAAATTCTGTATCATTCCCTATATGAAGTACCTAGAGTAATCAAATCCCTAGAGACAAAAGTACAATGGTGGTTGTCAGGGACTGGGGAAAGGGGTGAATGGGGAATTGTTTAACTTAAGGGTATAGAGTTTCAGGTTTTCAAGATAAAGAATTCTGGAGATTGGTTGCATAACAATGAGAATGCACTTAACAGTACTGAACTGCATGATTAAT